ATTGATTTACACAGCAGATTTCAGAAATGCATGTCAGTTTTATTATCACTGCTTTTAATAACCGGTGGTGTCTCTAACTAGGTCTGGTCCAGGGAAACGGCTGCATTCGAAAACAGATTAATAAATTACTTCGACTGTTGATGTGGACAAAAATAAATAAATTTCCAAGGGAGTCATGTGGTCATGGATGTCTAATTTATAGAACCATATTAGCTACAATCAGTTTAAGAGTAGATAAAAAATGCAATGATTTCCTGTTGAAACTGAGCTCTTCTAGTTTAGATGAAAAATATAGGGTTTTTTATTAAAAAAAAAAATGCATTGAAATCTACATGTAAACTGTATTTCTTTTTGGCTTCCTCTTGAAGGGGTTTCAGCAAACACATTTATTTCTGTGGGAAAAAAAAAAATTGAAAAGTGACTTGAAGTCTACTGAAATCGGCTCAGAGAAGAGCATGGTAAGGGCTTGACCAGATCTGTGGTGGAGACCATTCTAAGACTGATTCTACTACATGTGCTTAGTTTACAAGCAGAATTGATCATGAACCTGTTACAGAGACTGCAAAGGAAATATTTTAAAGCACAGTAGATGAAGTAGAAGTGTTTTACCGAGTGATTGCGTTTCCATGGAACTGACACCCTAGCCTTACTTCGCTCAAGCTGGATGGTTGCTACATGATCATATTCATTGAGAAGAGACCAGAAATAGTCGGTAATGAAGAAACTGATATGAAGAAAAATCTCTTTTTTTCTTCACCTGATAATTGGAGAGTTTGTATCTCTGAAACAATGAGTTTGGAAAGATTGCAACACCATCAAATCGAAACAGCCTAGTGCCTTAAAATGTTGTCCAGGTTATTTTAGCATTTTATGACTGAACATAACTCTCTGATACTCTTTTCCAAAGAAGGAGAAAAAGGCTTTTGGCGGTCCTATTAATAGAAGGATGATAATTTAACCTGGGAGGAAAGATGTAATGTGAGGATATTGGTTGTTGTTATAGGCAACTGTTACTCATTCCCCATAATTTCAGATAAAGCAGATTCTTTGAGGGAAAACTTCTTGTAGGGGAGCTGATCGGCTGCTGCCTCCTCCGTTTCCTAGCCTGGCTGCAGACACAGCTTTTGTAGTGCCATTTGCTTAGATGTAACGTGCAGGATTATAACATTTTCTTACTCTTGCAGAGGTCTGGCCACACTTTTCTGACTACCATCACGAACAGTTCCTTCCTACTGCTAGCTCATTTCCTTTGCTCTTCTGAATTCCATGTCAGGGAACTTAATCTCTTCTCCAATTCTGCAGCTCTCCGGAGTAAATTTCAGTGCTAACTGACCAATGAATGTCTCTAAGCAGATGTTAATACTAAATTAATAGTTTTAACTAGAACAGCATTGTTACTCTTGACTGCCATAGCTCTGCCCATTTTCCTTTTGTCTCTGATGTCCATTTGGGAATGTTGTGGAGCTTTGACAGAGGTTGAAGATATTCAAGTACCCTCACTGCACTGTGCTAATGTTCACTGTACATAGCAAACTGAGGCAAGAGGACCCCTGAAATTAGGATAGCTTTTCAGCTGCTTGCAGTAAATTTTGCAATGCATAGTTCCTAAGGGCTGTTTAACAAAGATTTCTCATGAGCACAATATTTTTGCATATTAGATGTTTTATTGGACAGTCTTTGCATCTACTATAGGCAATAAATAAAATGGTTTTCCCACAAGAAGATAGTTTCCTGATAAATATGTTTATGAAACTGTTTTAACTCCTTACTACTACTCAGAAACATCATGTGCTCTCCTAACTCTGTCTTTGATTGTGCGTGTTCATCTGTGAACATCAAAAAGCCCACACTGTTATTCTTCCTCAACCAGCTGTTGGCTTTATTATGCCAAATTCTGGTTTCCATAGAATAGACTGAAGTAATTCTTTTGATTATAAATGGATCAAAATTTGCTTCATCACCTCACCGACTCTTTGAAGGGATTTAGCACGTAGAGAAGGAAACAGACTTTTCCTAGAAGTAGTTTTTACAAACTACCTCAACATAAAGTGAAAGATCTCTGTTCAGATTTCCCTAGACAATAAACAGGGATATGGTCCAGGCTGGGCAGTGGAGAAAGCCACATTTAAGGTGATGACCTGCATGTTCTCAGAGCTCTAAGCACATTTGGGTAGCAACTGAAACAAAGAGCTGGAGTAGAAAAATGCTGGAACAGAAGAACCTTTACCTGATCTGGTCTCAGATGGGCATGGTGTGGTAGACTAGACCTGCAGACACAGGATGGTGTTTAATAAGTTCTGGTGGAAGGAAAGTGAGGGATGATTTACCATCACATAAAGTAAATGGATGGTGCATTGAGGTATATCAGTAGGAGTACTGAGTCACAGCTCATCATCTGGAAAACTGGAAATTTTCAGTACAACTCAGTACTGTTTCTGTATATATTTTGGGAGCAAGGGGACGGTGACAAGTAGTGCTTTTTGGAGCACATTATAAGACAACTGGGTTTTATCTTCTGGATGTTTCTATCCTGTGAGTTTTCCTGTCAGATTTGGGAGAACAATATTTTACTTGGCTTTCAGTTTGTCTCTGAATCATTGGTACAATGGAATTTATTCTTCCAAACCTGAGTTGCTGAAGAAAAAAAAAAAAAGGCAGAGCCGTTTGGGAGGTGGGTGGGAAAGAGGAGAGGAGGGGAAAGAAAGTCTGTGCATGACTGATGTAATCTCCTGCATCTTACACACTCAAGGCAAATACAATAATGTCTGATTAATAGTAATTGCAAAGTGACCAAATGCTGGTTTTCTTGGTTAGGAAATCAGAATTTAGAGAGCATTTCTCCTGTGATGGGTTAGATTTAATAGTGTTGTGCAAGACCTGAAAGGAGCAATGACTTTTTTGGTAAAGGGAAGGGGCTGTGCACTGGACATGCTTCAGTGAAAACGACAAGAAGTTTCTGCTAGAATTTAACACATCTTTAACAGTTATAGGAAAGACACCTGTAGACAAAACAATACATTTATGGAGGGTTTAGTAGAAAATTAATTCTTCTAGTCTAGACTGGAGGCATGAGAGTGGTTTCTATTGCTGATATACTCTTTGAAGAGACAGAGTCAGACAAGCCAGTCCTTAAAGTCATTGGCAGACCTTACTGTAGGTAACTATGGAATTTCAGTGTGATATTTACTGGTTGGTAACTCTTGATATCTGCTAGTTACACTAGCAGAATTTAGCTGAGAGGGTAACACTGGAAAACCTAACATTTTAAAATATATCTCATGTACTATAAACTCAAAGAGAAAGAGGATAAACATTCAGTCTAGAGATAAAATATTCTTTATTACTTATCAGCTGTAAAAGCTTGTTCTGTATGTTTAAAAAGTGCCTTTATAAGCAGAGTTACAGCGCACAAATTTTCAGTGTTCACATTGTCTCCTGAATTATTGCACTAGAGTGCCACTAGGTTGTTAGGTTTTGAAGGGAAAGACCAGAACCATTTTCTTAGTTGGAGTAGAGTCAAAAAGCTTTTTCTAAATGCCTGTATAAATTTTTGCCCTCATCTCTATGTGTTCCTTTTTATTTTTTGTGTGTGTGTAAGCTTTATTTGGTTTTGATGTTTTTACACTATGAATAGCTTCAGATGTGCTTAAACAAAGTTGTTCATTAATTTTGAGAAACTGAATTGTTCGAACTTCTTTCAGATAAGTACCTGTCAATGTTGCTATTAAAAAACGTGTGTGATACTTGCTACTTCTACAGATTTCTGGTTTACTACTCATTAAATATTCAGGTAGTCTGGTGTCTTGCTCATGAGACGTAAGAAGAACTGAAAATAGCCTTAATTCTGCGGAAGACTAAACAAAGACAAGCCATTTTATTTTTGTAGCTTACATCTTAATATGACTAGACTACACCATGATATAATAGTTTGTAACACGACAGTTTGAATTTCTGGCTTGCCTCAAAAAGGTTGGGTCCCAAAATACAGAATTAGAACAAAACGTTTGGGAAAGGTAAAGATTGTCTTTAACAAAGTGGGATCTGCTGCTGTGAAAAGAGTGAATGCAATATATTTTTATTATACAAATTTGAAAATGGTATCAGTTGATGTGATGCTGCATCAATTCACCCAACGCCTCCCAACCCTCTTTTTAACTTGGCTGAACTACTGGGTTGTGCTGGTGCATACTTTTAATGTCAATATTACCTATTAGAACAAAAGGATACAAACTCAGTAACTTAAATATAGGTTTTGGAGATGCAAATACATCAAGTGAAAGACCAAGAATGAGAGAAGTGTTCATAAAGAATGGGCTGTTCTTCCATCAGTGCGAGAACTAGGACAGCATGTACACAACCTCAAGTTTAGCTGCAGCTTTAGTTACAACACAGACATTTCCCTAACACTTTTAAGTATTTACCTGCCGCTTTCCTCAAGATTTTTTTATGCATCACAAACCAAATTTTTAAGAGCCGACCGCCTCCAGCTTAGGACACCTCTCACCGCCCTCTGCCAGAGACCCATCAACAACCGGGCTTTCCAGCACGTTCCCGAGCATGTAAATTATTTTGTAGCGGCCAAGACTCCTCGCTCGCTTGGGCGTCAGCGCACTCGGAGCTCCTCAAGCGCCTGGCAGCCGCCTCCCCGCCGGAGGGGCGGCGAACATCCCTGCCGGAGCTCAGGTGGGACGCGGCCGCGGTGCGGGGGCACCGCCGCCACCTCCTTCCCCCGCACAGCCCCAACGCGAACCCGCGCCCGCACCCGCGGGCGGCTCTGCGGGAGCCGCAGAGCCCCGCGCCGGCGGAGGCCGCTGCGGAGAGCGGGGCCGGGGCGTGGGCGGTGCGGGGGCGGGCGGCTGCGGGGGCCGGGGCGCGGACAGGTGGGCTCTGCGGGGGCGGGCCGGCCGTGGGCAGGCGGCTCTGGCGCGGATGCCGAGCGGCGCTGCCTCCCCCTCCCGCCTCGCACAGCGCTGTCCCCCGCACGGCGCCGGCGGGAGCCCCGGCCCCGCCATAAAAAGGGAAGGAGGGGGACACCGCGAGGTGCGCGCTGCGGGTCCCGCCCGGGCGCCGTGCCGGCAGAACGTGCCTGGAAGGGATGGATGGAGGCAGGAAAAGCCGGAGAAGGAGCGAGGAGGCTGTGCCGAGCGATGAGCCGCCTCCCCTCCCTCCCTCCCTCCCGCGCTCGCTCCCGCCCGCCCTCCCGCAGGAATCCCGGGCGGGCGGGCGGCGCGGCGGCACCCGGACGCGCGGCGGCGGGAGGAAGGAAGGGAGGGAGGGAGGGAGCGGGAGAGCGGCGCTGGCGAGGAGGAGCCGCCGCCTCATCCTGCGGCACCGGCCCGGCGAGCGCAGGTGGGTGAGGTGGGTGGGCAGCGCCCGGCGCGGGTTCGGCCGCGACCCCCCCGCCCCCGGCGCCGTCCCGGCGGGAGGCATCGTCCCCTGGCGTGCCTGTGGTTGGGGTGGGGGGCGTCGCGGCGGGTGGCTCCGTGGGGCGGGGGGCGTGTGAGGGGCTAAGGGATGTCTCGGGGCGCGGGGTTCCGTGGGGCGGATGGAGGTAGCGTGCCCGTGGATGGAGGGAGCGGGGCGGCTCCCGGCGCCACCTGAGCCGGGCTGGGATGGTGGCGGGGTCTCGGGGGGGCTCCCGCGGCCACGGGAGCTTTCCCGTCCGGGAGTGGCCGGCAGAGGCGGCGGCGTGGGAAGGCGAGAGGGTTACCTGCATGTGTGTGTGCTGCGGGACGTGGGCAGCCTCGCCGGCGCTGGGGAATTTCATTTATTTATCTGCCGTTTATTCATCTGCCAAGACCAACTTGTTCTTGGGAGACCGGGTTTGATTTCGGTTTCTGTTCCAGTCTGAGCTCCCTGGTCGAGGCTGCGATTGCCGTGGGGGAGCGCAGGGGTGCGGGTGCCCGGAGCCACCCGTGCTCCCGCCGCGGCGCGGGGAGATGAGTTTGTCTCTGCCCGCTGGTGACTTGGGAGCGTTTTTCCAGGGACACACACAGTGGGAGCATTCGGGCGCCTTTTCCAGGGGGGTGGCATGAGCAGTTCTTAACTGGAAGAAAGGAGAAGGCATGTGCGTGCAAAAGCCGGGTTTTCCCCCAGAGCTTGTACTCCGAAACTTCGCTCTTCGGTGAAACCCCTTTTCTGAACACCAGGAAGCTTTGGTTTTTCCAGGAAGGCTTGAATTTTCTAGTTTCTCATGTTTTCAGAAAAGGATTAACGTGAGGGCTCTGGGTACTGCGTGCTTTAGGTATTATTTTGATGTAAGTGGTTAATATATCAGAATTTGTGGCATAGTCCTCAAAGTGCAATAAACCTGGAATAAATCGAGTGGTTTTCATCTTATAAAAAAGTTCATCACTTCTAGTTTGAGATATCCTCTAAATACAAGTGATTTTTTTGGTTGTATGCATTTCTTTATAACCTATATCAAGTAACAAAGCTAAGCATGGGAATTGTTTCTGTAAAACTATGTTCATATTTCAGATGGAAGAGCAAATCAGGGTTTTTTTATTTACCAAGTAATTAAGTGCAGATGTTTTTGCATTGCCACTCGGAAGTCACGGTGCTCTGTCAAGGTTATGATCTGTCCACTATCAACAAGGATAACAAAAATCTTTTAAGCCCATAGCTGTCTTTGCGAGTTTTAAATGCCTTCTTGGTTTAAACTGAGTTGGGATTGTTTGTTTGTTTGTTTGTCTGTTTTTCTTTCTTAAATGTATTAGAGAGGAAAATATAAATAACTCAGTTTGAGTATCTTAACGCACCTTTTACAAAGGGGATGCTTTAGAATGTTTGTATAGAAAAACAAGTGAGCTGAAACATTTTGCTAAGGGGATTTGCGGCATAAAATATGGCTAATTTCTCTTGTATGACTACAGGTGGCAGTGTAGAAGCCAAGAACAAAAATTGGCAGAAATTGCATTCTGTGTGCGAGAATATGAAGAGTGTACTCATGACTAAGCACAGGAACCTGGAAAACCACAGGTATGTGAAGTGATTCATACAACTGCCTATGGTGCTCCCAGTATTTACTGTATCCTGATATTCCTGGCTCAATAGGTATTTTTGGACCAATTATCACTTAATGTACTCACAGTAAGAGCCTAATCAGAATGTCATGGAAAAATCTATATTTGATTACTAAAAGGAGCAGAAATACTTTGAAGGCAGTATGTGAGGAGAGGTGGGATTTTCCTACTTCGTTGCATTGGAGCACTAATTTGCACGGGGGGTGCCCCCCCCTTTAAATAAACAGTCTTCATATTGATAAACCTAAAAGCACTTAGAGGCCTAAATATCCTTGAAAAGGGGAAACTTTAGATGCAATAGAAAGGTTTGCATGTCTGGATGTTTTGGATGTCTTACCAGTACTGTATTTTGGGGTTTGTTTTTTTTGTTTGTTTGTGTATTTTTGGTTTTGTTTGGTTGGTTTTTTTACAAGCACTGAAGAATTGAAAGCATGAGGAAAATTACAAAATTAAGATATTTTTTCAAATAAGTGTGCAGTGGTGATTTGTATCTCTTTTCAAGGATTAAATCTGGTAAAATTAAAAAAAAAAAATGACAACACTGTTTTCAATTAAGAAATAAAAATAAGCAGTATGTAATAAGAGCTCTTGATTAGTTCTCATATTTCAAAGCAAAGGGAAATACTGGATTATCTTAATAATTATTTGGTCATTAATTAGCAACATGAGAGTAAGGCGCAGCTGTTCTTGCACGTTTACATTGGTGTGCACAGCCTGTAGAAATCAGTCCTGGGTTTGGATTCCAGGATTCCTGGGAACCCATGGAGGGTGAGGCAAACTCAGATCTGGAGACTGAGGATTTTTTAGAACTGATGAGTGGGAAGTTATCCTGGTAAGAGGTGTCAAAGTGGAATTAATGCTGTGATCATGAATATATTTATACTCTTGCATTTGACGGTTCCTATTCTGGTCTAAGAGGGCTTTTTGTCTAAACCCGTAAATTGCTCCTGAGAGAATGTGATTATATTGCAAATGCCTGCAGATGACCAAGTCACCTTGTGTCAGCTACCCTGCAGTAACTGGCCTTGGGCACAGTTTTAGTTACACTCAGTGGCAAACTTAAGTTGGAGAGACACTGATTTATTCTGCTGTTAGAATGGGCAAAGGCTCTACATGCCATAGGTATAACCAACCAGCTGTCATCAATAAACTCCTAAATTGTAGTAGCTTGGCATCTTGAGATTATGGAATCCAAATAAAAATGATTAATTGTTTCTACCCAGTGCTTCAAAACCAAGTAGGAATCCATAGTCTGGGTGCAGTTTTGAGGGCACTCAAGCCCTGAAACTATAAGCTCTTTGCAGAGAAGCTGTATCTCTGTTGGGGAATAGTAAGACCCTGATCTCTGATTGGGGTTTTTGGTTGTCATCCTAATGCTTTCAAAAGAATGTGTGCCTTGAATAGAATACCCTGAAAAGCTTTCACAATTCTTCAGTTAAAAAAAGGTGGCTGGATGGTCTTTGGGCTGTTGTACAGCAACAAGCCCTTCTAAGCATGTTTTCTTGGCTGTCATGTTTTCTTGTCACCTGTTACTTCTGAGTGAGCATCAGCCACTAATTTCCACACAGAACAGTAGTTCTTTTATTACTATATGTTATTGATCAACAGGGTGAGGCATCCCTTAAAACTTAATATCCCTGATAAAGTCAGCTGAATTGTTTATGTAGTACAGATCAGCATATGCTTGTGGCTTTGTTGAACATCGTTGAGTTCATTATCTTGTGCTAACACATTTAGAAAAGGAAATGAAAATGTCATTTGTCATTGGTACAAAATTTTAATGGGGTCTTCCATTTCATCAAGTGTTCAAAATATTAAATAAAAAAAAATGGTAACTAAGCAGTGTGATGCTCGAGAGTTCAATTTACAGACACTTCTCTGTGCTAATTATGAAGTATTGACAAAAATGAATGAAGCTACTTGTTAAAGTGCCTTTTTCACTGTATAGCAGTTGTGTTCACAAGATGATTCATAACATTCAGCAATTTGTGATGAATTTCCCTGCCATTACAAGAGATTACTAAGTATCTAATGTATTTGCACTACACTGGGTTACTTTAAATTAGATTTGATGGTGGAAAGGGAAGTAGAACCACTTTCTATCAACTGAAAAATCAGGCATTTTTTATTAATCAGTTAATATTGAATTTATTTTTACTGTATAGTACAATTTATCCCTTACAATCAAATGCAAATGTTTAATCATCTTGCCTGTAAATACAGCACTGACTGTGTGTGTGGGGGGAACCTCTCAAGACTTCTCTTGTGTCGAAAGTTGTGTACATCATAACTAATAAAATATAGCAGACTTGATGAAAGTGGAATTCACAGTAAGAAATCTAAATTGGGAATCGTCTAAAAGTGTGAGGTCCCATTTTGAATCAGCAAGTCTTGATTATATAGAATCCTCTTTGATTTGGTGAAGGATGTATTTGTAAGTACAGCTTCATCAACAGTGCAGCAGAGGGTGCATCTTAGAAAGCTGTTTTGTGCTTCTGTTTTGAACTAAGAGTTGTGTCTCGTCGTGTTCTGTTCTCTTAAGAAAACAGTGTTTAAGGGCTTGCACAATCACTCATTTCATGCTATCATAAAGTGGCTGTAATCTGTTAGATTATAAAGCATGATTGCCTGGCGGTTATGGGGAATGTCGGTTAATGACACCAGGGTGTTAACACAAGAAAAACTAAACTTCCTCACTCCTTTGTACTTGTATAGGATTGGCTTGAAAGTGGTTTGTGGGAACCTGGAGAATGTACTAGACCCATGGATTAAAGATGCTGAATGGAAGGCAGAGAAGTTATTAAAATTTCACGAAACAAATAAATACTCTAAGATGTCACAGGCACCAACCAGTTCAGTATTAAAGACAGATTTTTAGAAAACCACTAGAATTGGTTTAGATTTTTAGAAAATCACTAGAAAACCACTGTCTATCAGGAGGATGAGGATAGTCTGAATCAAAGTCTTTGGAGGAGGAGACAAAGTGAAAATTTCAGATGGAATACGCTGACAGTAAGCCTTAAAACACAAGGAGTGCGTCTGAGGCCATTTAGCTTAGAGGCTTTGGCTTCTCAGGCCTAGAGGTTGATATCAGGTCTTTAGTTAGAAAAGAGTAGCATTTACTTACAGTAATTAATGTAGCTGTTAAACCAAAGGGATAGTTATGACGTTGCAAGATGCTTATTGTAGGTTAATACAACGGAGCTCTTGTGAAAGTCACCACATGTGAAGTGTAAGTGTGAGGAAATTAACCTTAATTAGCAAATGTGTAAACTAAACCTCCAGGCGGGTATTCCCACTGCTGTCTCCAGGGAGGCTCCCACTGGGCTTCCATGAGAAGTAGGTTCTAATGTCGGAGCATATCAAACCTGAAAAGGAGAAATGACCCTGAAATTACATCCTGTAGGTGAAACCTTGCTCTCAGGTGATGGCCAAGTATCCTTTTGCTCTAGGAATGGTGTTGATTGTAGATGATAGAGGGACATCTGCCATGGTGGAGATGCTAAGTGGAGTCCAACTAACTGGATTTATGGTGCTGGAACCTTCCAACTACATGCCAAGGTGGCTTACAACAAAAGGAATCTGGACTGTCTTTTCTTGCTGGTGACAGTATAGGTCTACCCTAGAGAAGGTAGCTAGCTGATTAGGGATTCTATGGAGAGCCTGCTAAGAGAAACAGAGTAAAAAGCTTGCAGCTGTTGTGGAGAGACTCAGAACAAATGCATATCCCCTAAAAACTGGTTCTCTGACCCTTCAAAAAGTTTTAAAGGATAATTAGCATGGTTGAGCAGGCTGCAAGGAATAGAAAAATATTCCCCAAAACATGTCCAAAATTAAAAAAAAAAAAAGGAAAAATAATGCAAACTAAACATAAATTATGCAGTAAAAGAAGTTAAAACCTGATCTGTGATTTGTAAAAGGCAGAGAAGCTTGTCATAAATATTCTTTCAAAACCATCAGAAATGGGAAGGCCACTGGTCCCACAGATAACTAAGATCCAAAAGAGCTCAAAGAAGATTGCACCTATAGCTAAAAGCATATCAAATACTCATGTTCATGGTAGCACCGAAGTTGAAGATGCCAAAGGTGATGCCATTTTTTTAAAAAGGCTTCCAAGAAAGCCTCTGGGAAAGAACAGGATGAGTATGACTGGCATTCATAGCAGCCAATTTTCTGGTAAATACAGAAAGAAAACTAAAGCATTCATGGACAATTTGATATACCAGGAAAAAGTCAGAACAGTCTCACAGGTCTGGTAGAGTTCTTTGAAGGCACTGCTGAGGTGGTGAGTAACTGTGATCTCGCTGATGCAGTACACTTGGGTTTGAGTCTTGTGAGAACTGCTCACCAAAGGTGCTGAGCAAAATGAAACTGCTCTGACATAAGAGGAAATTTTTCTCCTAGACTGATAGTTGTCCAAAAGATGAATAAATGACCTGTTTTCACAGAGGAGACGGACGTCACCAGTAGAGTTGCTCATGGATCTGTGCTAAGTTTAACACCAGTCAGTGTATGCATTAGTGATCTGGAAGAGAGAGTGCAGAATGATTTTAAGTTAATGAGGGTAGCATAAGTGAAAGCTAATTATGAAGAACCAAAGAGGGATCTTGTGATGCTTAGTAACTGGGGATGAAACTTGCTGCTGATAGTATGAAGTAATGCATGTGGGGGAGAACAATCCTGCTATTATTGAGCCTGTGAACTATTAGCACTGAAGTAAGCAATGCTGTAGAGTTTATCATGGTGAATCCAAGTATTGATCAAGTGTTTAGGACTGGTCAAACAATTAAAAAAAAATAGGGAAGAATGGCTCACAGAACAGAAATCTGCTGTGCCAATCTATAAACTGCTTTTGTCTTGACCTCTGGGTACAGTTCTGATCCCCCTATTTAAAGAAGGGTGAGGGAAAAAAAAAAAAAGGAGAGATAACAGAACTAGAAATGGGTGGCAGTGATA